ACGCACTTTGAAAAATTACGCAGTTTGAATATTTTTTTCAAAATGCGTTGCAATTTGTGACCAAGCTAAAGCACTTTGAAATTTTTTTTTTTTCAAAGTGCGTTAATATCGACCATATTAACGCACTTTGAAAAAAATGTAAAGATTGATCAATATTCCTTCAAATAATCGGTCTGATAAATAACAGATCCTGGTTTGATAATTTTTTTATGATAAAGTTGCTGTAGGGCCTGAGATATTGACGTTTTAAATATTTAAGGTTTTGATAAAATAAAAGGGTCTTGAAAAAAAGAGTGACGATTGTTTAAGTTCATTAATTCGTTTCTTTTTTTTTATTTTATTCTTTGATACGAGATGTAAAGGTGTACAGGAGGCATTAACAGAGGAAAGCTTCAAGCAACTTAGCATTTATCATAATAAAAAGGGGCCAATTTGATTATTCAAAACTATATTATTCAAAACTGTGAAAATTTTGTCTCTCTCAAACGTATTACTGTATTTAAAAACTTCTAGTTTTCATCTTTTGAATGTTTTCAACGTCATACCAGTTAGGTAAATACATAAATATATGAATGTTTTGAGTATAGCATAGTCATCGAGACTGGGCGAAGGGCCAGGGGGAGGGGATGGGGGGCTGAGCCCCCCCCCACTTATTTTGGAAAGATATATACATCGTATAAGCATTGAAAATGCAGCGTACCCTTTTAGGTTTATTGCTCCCCTCCCCCGTTTGCTACCGACACCTATGTATTCAAAAGATTGATTGATTGATTGTATATTGTTTAACGTCTCTCTTAAGAATTTTTCACTCATATGGAGACGTCACCGTATCCCGGTGAAGGGCTTCAAATTTAGACCTATCTCGGCACTCAGGGCCATTGAGCAGTGAGGGTTCTTTATCGTGCCAGTGCCTACCGTGACACGGGACCTACGTTTTTTTAAGGTCATATCCGAAAGACCCGTGACTTTCACTTCTAGTGCTGAGCGCTTGGCGAAGGAACAGTCACTACCTTTGTTTACGTCTTAGGTATGACGCGGCACCGCGAACGAGAATCGAACCCGGGCCTCCCGATCACTATTCAAAAGATAAAGATTTGGACTGAGGGATCTTATACCCGTCTTCTCCTTTTTTCGATGGGAGTAAATCAATTCATTTTCGAGGGTAGGGTTAGGCTTAGTTTTTTGAAAGATAAATAACAAATAAAATCTTTCCATGACAAAACATGATTTTCTTTTTTCAAAGTGCGTTAAGTGTCTCCATGGTAAAATATATTGATGTAGACTCTTAACGCACTTTGAAAAAAATTTTCAAAGTGCCTTGAGTTGGTCCCAAATTTAACGCACTTTGAAAGTTTTTTTTTCAAAGTGCGTTGATTTTGTCTCAATGTTAACGCACTTTGAAAATATTTTCAAAGTGCGTAATTTTTTTCAAAGTGCGTTGCCACATACCACCTCTTTACCAGTTTTTTTTTTAATGGCTGAACCCACATAAAATGTGAAAATATGTCAACAACATCCAATAAAAACTTAATACCCTTATTAAATTTTGACAAAGAAGACATATCCGCCAGATCAGCATTCCATTGATTGTCAATACAGATACAACAACTCTTGCTCTTTTGACAGGGTGTCGAGCTGGATTTTGCAAACTGTAATCATCTTGATTATTCAGCCATTTTCTGAATTTGTAAATTCCAAGATTGATTCCATTTGCCTTCAAAGATTCATGCAGTATTGATGGTCCATAATAAGAAAGTGACTTTTTCCTATTTCCTAGACTGAAACAAATGTTATCTGGACGTCGCTATACTTCGCGCAGCGCAGTTGGTAGTGCTGTTTATCAGTGCTTAGACAGTATTCCAAAGGAAGACTACCTCGGGTCTTTCAAATCATTGCAAAAGTGTGTAAATGTAAAAGGGGGTTATTTTGAAGGATTAAACTAGTTTACATTTTGAAACATATTGTTTTTATTATTTTTATAGACATACTTGCAAAATTTTCTGATCGTCCCTCGTAAATCAATAATTTCCCTTGCGAAAATCATTTTGTAAATCTTAATCATCTGTCTCCAGCCTTTCTCGCTCGTTTGTTCTGCGTTGAGTAAAGACAAATGATCTGGTTTTTCAGTTGCTCAGTTATATAAAATTAATACTTTCTTAAATAAATCAGTATTTACATTTTCCTAACGTCAAGAAGTCCTTCCAAAGACTGAAGGTCAATCCCGACAGGAAGGATAGGGTGTTCGACATGTTCTTGGAATTATTAACGGAGGAATGTAATCGTTGCTTTGACCAATGTGATTTGTTACCTTACTGGTGAGGTAACGTAAAGTTTCTCTGACGACCTTTTCAAAGGGCATACATTTTCCATAAATGTCAGTTATCTCCTCTGGAATCTATTAAGATAGTAAAACTTTGAAATTTTTGGCTTTGTTTTAAACTTTATTTTATTTATAATTTACCTCAATCATCAACTCACCAAACCTAACATAAAATATAAATACTACTGTTCAACCGAACTGAAGAATGATCCAGGGAAGATTGTGCAAATTACGTTGTCTTAATATCATGCCACTTCAATATCGATCAATTAAAGGGATTCAAAGTCCAACTTTAATTTCTGTTTTATAAAACCTCACACCTCCTTTCTAAAGAAATTGCATCTAGTAATAGTGCACTACCGATAACATAATTTCAGTCAATATCAAGTGCTACAAGTGCTACAAGCTAATTCAGAGAATTTATGTCCCCCGCTTAGGGAAAAAGTAAACCATGCGCAGTTCGGGGGAGTGGGGGGTAGAATCCCCCTGACTGAATTTGAAGAATTACTAAATGTATTCATAAACATGTATACTGAAGCAAATAAAATATGCCAATATGTATACGGACGGACATACCCAAATGAATATCCCCCACTTTTCAAGCGGGGGACAAAAATGGACCAGCAATGAGGAAAACGTACTTTTGAAAAAAAAAATGCGCTTTGACAAAAAATAAAGGTGCATTAAAAATGGGACAAATCATTTTAGCTTACGATTACGCTTTTTAAAATAAATCTGTTTTTAACCAAAAAAAAAAAAAAGATTTACATTAAAGGTAGGATTCTTCTCATATTTCTTTACATAAAATTTAATGAAATTTTCATAGAATCAAGAAGATACTATTATCACTAAGTGATGGTATCATTGAAATTAAATTTGACCGTTTTATATTGGAGACAAGGTCAGGTCAAGATCACTATCTTTTTCCTGGAAATTAATAATAATAAATTACTGCTGCCAATTATGCGATCCCTACTTGTATATTTAAAGATTGAATGTGTGTGTCTGTGTTTTTATTTTTTTTCCTTGGCATTTACAGATATTACCAGAAAGGGCCTATAAGATGATATTACCAAATTAATATAAATCAGTTATCTAACATGGATAATATCAAAATGATACAAAAACAAAAAAATATTTTTTATGGCTTTTTGGCTCATATCTCTACTCAGATTTGAAGCGTATTAAAACTATTTCAAATCTAATTGGTTGAAAAATCATATTTATTTGATATATTTAGAAAAATTATTCCCTTATCATTAATTAAACTTACATTTGAAATGTTTTGATGTCTTTGATTGTGTAAAAATTAAAACTAAATTCATTGCTCTATGATAATTTTGAGAGGCATAAAAATAGATATTTTCATACGCCACCATTCGGCCAAAAATAAAGTCCCTGCTAGTTTTTAAATGCAGTTTATAGATTCTATTTAAAGTTGAATGATTATAATGAAGAAAGAAAAAATATGGTCTATTTAATATCTTAGACCTAAATATATGACATATAAGCAAAGGTACTTTGAATATTTTACCTAGTCAGAAACCAGAGAATAATCCTACCTTAAGTAATAGAAAACGTTTATTTGTTATATATCTTTTGAAAACAAAATTATAAATTGATTTACCCCCGTCGAGAACGATCGAGAACAGATATAGTAGAAGGTCTCTCAGACCAATTCTTTATCTTCCTTTTAAAGGTGTCGTAGCAAACTGAAAGTAAAGGGGGTCCGGATAATTGAACGTCGGAGGGGACTTAATCAAGAACATGTTTATTTTTCTGCCAGATGGGACGTGGAGGGGACGCATACCTCCGTGGTTCCGATGCCTATGCTATACCCAATATGTACATGTATTTATTATAACTAGTTTGACGTTTATGCTGAAAACATTCAAACCATGTTCCATAGAAATTTTTTTTAAATGGTTGATTTCTTTTGCATTTTCTTACAAACAATTATGCTTATAAAAGTAGTTAAACGAATTTCATATGCCATTTCATAATGTTTCCTAAATATTCACCAATGTTGGAAATTTGTATGTTTTATTTGAATATTTTGTTTATATTATCATTTAATTATATGACAAGAATCTATAATCGAGAATTAAAGGGAAATAAAATTATTTTAACGATACCTGTAGTCAACGACCGGAACAGAAATCGATAAGCATTTTGTAATTATTAAAACCATGCAATCCCGATTTCGTGAACTAAGGTTACATCTATTGTTATGATAAGGCATCCCTCTAACATTTTATGCCTACAGCTTATTGCCTCAATAAAATACAACTTGGGAACAATTTTTTTCATAAATGCGTAAATAGCACAAATTCATTGAATTATAAAATGAATGTAAGTTACTGTGAAATCACATATTTTCAAGGGGTCAAATTTTCGTGGTTTGAGGAAAGTATATTGGCTTCTGGGGATTTGATTTCGTGGTTAAGGAATTGAGCAGTAATATTCTATGTGAAAAATTTAATTTGTGATGGGAATTAATTCGTTGGTCTCTTCATACCTTGAAAACCACGAAAATTAAACCCCACGAAAATTAGAGATTTCACAGTAAACTGAATGCAATGTTTAATTTTCATAGTAATTAACTAAAGATCTTTATATTTTTTAATTTCATTCAAAGAATTTAAATATTTAGTGCAATAAATTATTGCTATTTTTATACCTGAGGTTCGTTGAGACAATGTTTGTAATTCTGGAAAAAATACCACTCCTGTGCTTTTCCTAAGCCTAGCAATTCCTTGAATTTCTTTTCAGCATCATATCCAAATTCAGCGACATTTCCACATTCATTAAACAAGATGCAGGTTCTCGTTTTTTTAGCTCTGCATTGGCTTAAGCTTTTTTCCCAAACAATATTGGTCACGTTTTGACCTGTATCATTCTTCTTTGTCATGTCTAAGAGAGCACAACCAGAGTAGGTTTCTCCAATGTCCACAGCCGCAATGTATTTAACACTGTCTGAGTACACTGAGGCCATCATCTTTTATCGCTACTGTGTCATGCCCTATTGTAAGACAAAGGACAAAAATAGAACATTAGTGCCAGTATACGATTTTTTCTTTACTCCAAAAAGTGATTTCTTGCTTGCTATTATCTGAGATTCAGAAATAAAGTATTATTTTACATAGACTTTTGTGATTAATCCTTCCTGTTCATAACATTTGATGATAAGTCATTCTTTCCAAATTTTGATAAAATCTGAAAAGCAATTTAATTAATGTACATCAACAATAAAGACCTAAGCATAGTTCAATACTATTTTTAGTTCAACTGAGCCGAAGGCTCAAGTGCGATTTTCTGATCCAAATTCGTCCTTTTGTCTGTCATCTTTGTTGTCAGTGTAAACTTCTCACATTTTCATCTTCTTCTCAAGAACCACTGGACCAATTTTAACCAAACTTGCTACAAAATATCCTTGAGTGAAAGGAATTCGAGTTTGTTCAAATGAAGGGTCAGGTCTTCTTCCAAGGGGAAATAATTATGAATTACTGGAAAATTAATGACATTTTGAAAAAAAAAATCTTCTCAAAAACCACTGGGTCAGGCAAGATGAAACTCATTTGGAATCATCCTCAAGTAGTGTAGATTAAAATATATTCAAAACATGACCCCAGGGAGTAGAGTGGGACCACAATGGCTTAATAAATGTTTACATAGGAACATTTTGAAAAAAAAATTGTTCTTCTCAAAATGCACATGGACAGGAAAGATAAAACTTATGTTGAAACATCTTCAGGTAGTTTTAAGTTGTCTTTTTTTTATCCTGGCCCTGGGGGGTCAGGATGCGGCCACGATCAAAGTTTTAAAACAGAAATATATAGGAAAAATCTTCAAAAATCTTCTTCTCAAGATCCATAGGGACAAGACAGATGAAACTCATTTTGAACCATCCTCAAGTAGTGTAGATTCAACTTTGTTCAAATCATTATAACCGGGGGTAGGGCGGGGCCAAAATGGCCGACCAAAGTTTTACATAGAAAAATATAGGGGAATCTTTAAGTTTTACACAGAAATATATAGGAAAAATCTTCAAAAATCTTCTTCTTAAGATCCATAGGGACAAGACAGATGAAACTCATGTTGAACCATCCTCAAGTAGTGTAGATTCAACTTTGTTCAAATCAATATAACCGTGGTTAGGATAGGGCCACAATGGTCGATCAAAGTTTTACATAGAAAAATATAGGGGAATCTTTAAAAGCCTTCTCAAGTATTGCAAAACCATGATTAGGGATATTTCTATGGAAGCTTCCTCAGGAAGTGTTGATTCTAGTTTGTTTGAATCATAACCCCTATTGAAATGGTTGGGCCATAAAAGGATCAAATTTTTGCATTAAAATATATATTTTTTTAATTTTCTCAAGAATAGAAAGCAAAGATCAGTTATATTTATATGGAAATGTAAATTAAATTTGTTCAAATCATAACCCCCAAGGGAAGGGTTTGGTCTCAATGATGGATCAACGTTTTACAAGGAAAATAAAGGGAAAAATCCCAAGAATAGAAAAGCTATGTTTAGTCATATTGACATTTCAGCATCCTCATGTATTGAAGATTTAGATTTGTTCAAATCATGCCCCTTTTAGGGGGTAGGGAGGGAAGCAATGGGGAATCAAATTCTAATTATTATACAAAGTAATATATACAAACCAAATTTTTTGAAAAAATTTTTTTTTTTCAAAACAGCATAGTTATATGCTGTATTGATATGGAGGCATAAATAAGAAAGATATAAAATTCAGACTACCCACCCCTCCCCTCTTCAGTAAATTTTTCAATTCTGATCTGATTTTCGTTTTTTCTAGCCGATGTGATCCCTGGGCCTCTTGTTTAATATGACCCAACATGCGTGTAAAGCGCGTTTTTCATAAATCTATTATGATGCATGCACAAAGGCCATATATATCATTCATGAAACCAGGCCTAGGAATAGATAAAAAAAATTATAATTCAACAAGAGAATGTTAAAAATGTCCCTTGATAGCAAACTAGCTTTACATATACATGTAGCATTACAGTATAACCGCACTGTGAACTTGAAATGTAAACATATCAAACATATCATTAAGGTTTTAAAAACATGAATGAAACTTTTTAGAGAGGTTCGCTTCCGAGATTTTTCACAAATTTTTGTCTTGACAAATTCTACATAATGTTTTAATTTTTAGTTTTTACAACATTATATATTTGAATTCTACAATGTTAATTAAACTATATTCAATTAAAAAAAACATGTTTACATTCCATACCAAAAACATGAAGTTATCCAGTATTATATTTCTTAGCGGAAGGTTTTTTGAATTAGGAAAATGATTATTTTTCTCTTTTGAGTTTTTAAATATTGTTACGTTTGATCCAAAATTTTTTAAAAGCAGCCTGCAGCCCTGCACACAGAGTTAATTTGTGCAGTGGAATGGTTTATGTTGATCCTTCATTATAAATTAAATTACCAACCATGAATTCTATATATCTTTATATTATCTTTTTTAAAAAGGAAACATTTTGTGGAAGTTCTTGGGGAAAATATACCCCTTTAAACCTAAAATTAACACCATAATTATGTAAACATTGTCAAAAATAAACATCACATACCCCGCATTATTTTATTTTATTTTCTTAATACCGGTATATAAGATATTTCTAAGCTTTCTGTAAGAAAATGTCGTTACTCTCAAATGAAATTTTTTCTTGATAAATTATTGATGCCAGAAAATGATATTTTTTGAATGCAAAAAGATTAAAGAATTGACTATGCGAATAAATTTTTAATTTGTTAGTTGTCACAAATTTTGATGTTACAATGTATGATAAAAAAAGATGTTTGTCTCCATAATTCATTTGATAAATAATATACCAGAGGGAAACTTTGAAAGCAAATGATAAATGTGCTAGACGTAACTACAGTGCAAAAATGTCATATTTAATGTTCCGTAGAGCCATAAAAAGCGCTTGACTTTCATTTTTTGTTTTGATTTTTAATTAATTATAAGCTAAGAGAAACAATTTTAAAATATGCTTGATAAAAAAATCTCAGTACTTTTGATAACAAGATCTAACCTCCTTAACCTGTTAACCATTAGCGCAGTTTGGATAAGATTAGTTGCCCTTCAAGTTTTTTTCAAGTGTAATAAGACATGAATGTTCAATGTACCGCTTGCAGATTACACCTAATATTGTTAATACATGTACTAGTATTTTTCTACAATAAGCTTAAAGCTGACATAAACTCTTAAAAAGGTATTTTTGTATCTTGTACGACTACTACATTCCTGTTCTCCTTTGTTTGCCATATTTCTCCGAATCTGTATTTATTTGAAAATATTTTGCTACCCGTACCTGCCAATCGCAAGTTCTCGGGCCTTTCCGACAAGCGGAAAAACTACCTCGAATGTAATACAAAAGACGCCATGGCTACCTATGGAACGCCATCACTGCCTTATAGCAGAACACTAAAATTGCATTGGAGTTCAACTTTACATTACATTAGTCAACTCTTTATGACATTTACACATGCTACTATTGCGTTATGTCACCTTTCTTTTACATTATGTTAAGTCTTTATGGCATTAACTCACACCACAATTGCATTGTTTTAATCTTCCATTACATTATATCAACTCTTTATGGCATTAACTCAGACCACTATTGCATTGTGTCAACCTTCCATTACATTATGTCAACTCTTTATGACATTAACCCACACAACTATTGCATTGTGTCAATATTCCATTACATTATATCAACTTATTATGACATTTACTCACACTACTTTTGCATTGTGTCAACCTTGCATTACATTATGTCAACTCTTTATGACATTTACAAACACTACTATTGCGTTATGATAACTTTCCATTACATTATGTTAAGTATTTAATGGCATTAACTCGCACTTCAATTACATTGCGCCATCTTCCATCCATTATTTTAGCTCTTAATGACTTTAAGTCAAAACAATTGTACATGGTGTAAAGATGTTTTTATAGAATTTAAATCATTATTACATTATTGCACTCTCTACTATTTGGTCTAAAGTAGTTCATTACATGATGTGAATTTATCTTTAACATGTTTAATTCAATATCAAGTCGCTATAACACGATGTCAGAATTTCATTACATGATGTGAAAAAAATGTCACATGTGGCCAATTCTTCACTACATTGTGTCATCAATATGCTACATGACGCCGGGAATCTATTACATGGTGTCAATTTTCCCTTACTTTTTGACAAATCATTATTATGTTATGCCATTGTATCTTTACATTGTGTCTAAAATGCTTAGCCTCTTGTTAGTGTATCTTAGAATATTTCAACTCTTTATTGTGTGACGTACGATTTAGGTTATGCCTAAAAAAAAAGTTTGTGTTTTAATATTACATGCACGGATGTATATGTTAAACATGCAAATAATTTAAATTAAACATATCAAATATTAAACCATACAAAGACTTAATTAATTCTTAATTAAATATAAGGTTAAAACTTATAAATAGGAACATGTTCCCGTGGAATCTTTATTGACGATTGTTTTTATAACGTTGAAATTCAATGGCCGTTAAATCTCATAATTATCGCAAATCAAATAGTATGTGCCATGCAGAAATATTTTCCTTTTTATTTTGAATTATTTTGAAAAGTCCGAAACTTCTGATCTAACTACAAAACACTGTCTTATTAGCTTTTTATCAGTCTTTAACCCTCCTTTTTTTGTTGAAGTTGAAACGTTTTATATAAAAAAAAAACTTAAGCCTGAGAGCCTCCAGGATTTTACCTCCTGGTCCCCAACTTAGACACCTACCGTCCCCCTATAGCTAATCTTTTCAAGAACCCAAGATAGCCACTGATATATGCCTATGTCTACTGAGGTATGGTCAATTGATTTAAGTGGGGACTGGTAATTTTTCTAACAGAATTCTAGTCTCGGAATGGGTTAAAAAATGACTCATTCCACTGACGTTGCATCGTTTTTGAAAGTT